CCCGGCCCGGCCCCGCCGCGCAGCCGCCGCTCGGGCATGCCGGGACATGCAGTCCGCCGCCTCCGCGCCCGCTCCGCCCCGCTCGGCGGGAGGGGGCGGCCTGCCTGCCGCGGGCTGGCTGCCCGCGCCGGGAGGAGCCAGGCTGGGGGGGGAAAAAATAATAAAAACCAAGAGAAAGCAGGAAAAACGCAATGCGCCCAACGTGGGGCTCGAACCCACGACCCTGGGATTAAGAGTCCCATGCTCTACCGACTGAGCTAGCCGGGCGCCACGGGCACCCAGCGGCCGCCGCGGGTGTCGGCACCGGCCCCGCCCGCGGGGCGCGCTCCCCGCTCCGGCCGCCAGGGGGCGCGCGCCCGGCCCATCTGCATGTTTAACATTATCGCCTAATTCATCATTATCCCCAACGTTATCCCAAAATCCCGGCAGGTGCGGAGCCACCGGAGCTGCGGCCGTCACGGGAAAGCTGTGCGCTGACGGAGCCGCGAGCAGCCCCCGAGGCGGTAATTAGCAGAGCCCAGTAATGCCCGGTGTTTGCTCCCGGTGCGCTTCAGCCTGAGAGAAAATAAACCGAGGCAGCGACCGGCAGGAGGAGAGGACAGGAGGGACGTAGCGGCGTCAGCCAAGCACCGTTTTTTATTTTTGACAGAAAATTCACTGAATGTTTGTGTGTTTTGTTTTTTTTTTTAAATCGCGGTTCTCAGGGCGGGCAGACGAAGCAAAGCGGCAAACGAGCGCCAGGGGGCGCCACGGGCCACGCCGGCAACGATAAGCACCGCCCCTAATATGCATAACCCCGCCCTTAATGTGCATATCCCCGCCCCTAATGTGCATATCCCCTCTCCTAATGTTCATAACCCCACCCCTAATGTTCATAACCCCGCCCCAATATGCATAACCCCGCCCATCTGCTGAGCCTTGTTGCCTTGAGGGGCTGCCTGGAGCAGGGACTGGGCAGAGTTAAAGAATAAAGCAGGGATTTATTAAAAGACAGGGTACACCTTGGCCAATACAAGAGCCCAGCCATGGCTACGCCCAAGCTGGACTCCAGGTCACGACTTTTTGCACTTTCATAAATTTTGGTTCATTTCTATACTGGGGTTAATTGCCCAGTTCCAGCTCCGGGTTGTGCAGTCCCATCCTCTCACGTTGCTCTCTTCCATTCCCTGTTGTTTGCACCTTTTGGGCCTGAAGCTGCAGCGCTGTCCTTGCTTCTGGGGCTGGAAAAGGATTGTTCTGTCTGACCGAGCTGCGAGGAGAGCTGCTGACACTCTAAATGGAGTTCAGAGTTATACACCAACGTAGTGCAGACTCTGGAAATGTGACAGCTCAATCTTAAAGTATCAGCATAACCCCGCCCCATGATGTGCATAACCACGCCCATCTACTGTGCATAACCACGCCCACCTAATGTGCATAACCACGACCATCTTATGTTCATGACCACGCCCATCTAATGTGCATAACCACGCCCACTAATGTGCATAGCTGCACCCACCTGCCACGCACAACCACGCCTATCTGCTGCACATAACAACTTCCATTTAATATGCATAACCACGCCTGTTAATGTGCATAACCACGCCTATCTGCTGCACATAACCACGCCCATCTGATGTGCATAACTCCACCCACTGTTGTTCATAACCCCGCCCCCCGTTGTGTGTAGCCCCGCCCCCGCTGTGTGTGGCCCCGCCCCGTGGCGCAGGATTGTCCGCGGGATTGAGTGGGATGAGAGCCGGGTGCCCGCGGGATTGTCCGGGGCATGAGAGCTGGGTGTTCGCGGGATTGTCCGCGGGATGAGCACTGGATGTCCGCGGGATTGTCCGCGGGAATGAGCGCTGGATGTCCGCGGGATTGTCCGCGGGATGAGCGGAATGAGCGCCGGGTGTCCGCGGGATCGTCCGCGGGATTGAGCGCTGGATGTCCGCGGGATTGTCTGCGGGATGAGCGCCGGGTGTCCGCGGGATTTTCGGCGGAATGCTTGCCAGCCTGCAGCCCGGTGCCCCGCCGCTGCGGCGCTCGCCCCGGGCCGGGCACGCTCGGAGCCGGCGGCCCCGGTCCCCGCCCGGGCAGGCTCCGGGGCGCTCCGTGCCCGCGGGTGCTTTGCCCCCGGCGACGGCGTGTCCCAGCACCGCCCCAAAGCGGGGATTCTCCATTTTCTGGGAGTTTTTCCGTTGTTTGTTCGGTGTTTTTATCACTGGCAGCCGGGGTTTAACAGCGGGAGCTGAGCGGAGCTGCCTGAGTGCCCCTCGTCCGGCCGGGCCCTGACCCTAACGCTGTCCCCGGCAAGCCCCAGCGCTGGCCCCCAGGGCACGGGGACAGTCCGTGCTGTCCCTGCCCCGTGCCGGGCCAGCGGGCACAGCCAGCGGCTGCCCGGGTCCAGCGGGGGGAGCGGTGTGACAGGAAAGGTGCGAGAGGAAAGGTGTGAGAGGAAAGGTGTGAAAGGTGAAGAGCCCTGCGGGTAACCAGCGCACCCCTCTCCCCAGAGCCGCGCTCGGGCAGCGACATCGTCCATCCCATCAGGGTCGACGAGAGCGGAGCCTTCCTGTCCTACGACTTGTCGTACCGGGCCCTTCACCGCAGGTCCCCTGCCTCCAGGAGCAAGCTTCCCGCTTTCTACGAGCTGCAGTACGGAGGGCAAGCCCTGAAATTCAACCTGAGCCTCAACAGGCACCTGCTGGCCCCGGGCTTTGTCAGCGAGAGGCGTTTCGGGGGCCTCGCCGGCGCCAAGATCCAGCCGCGCTCCTACAACCCGTGCCACATGGTCGGCGAGGTGCGGGGCCGGGCGCCGCAGGCGGGGCTGGCTGCCCTCAGCACCTGCGACGGCCTGGTGAGTGCAGCCCCTCCTCACCGAGCCCTGCTCCGCCGGGAATGGCAGCAGCTGCTGGGGGAGCCCTTCTTTCTGCCAAATCGACACCAAAATTCCCAGCGGCAGCAGAGTCAGCATCTCCTCACGCGGGTCTGGTGCACCCTGGATGAGCTGACTGTGAATTTCCCATGGATTGCAGTGGTGTGGGACCCCTGCGGGGCTGGGTTTATTTGTCTGTGTCCAGATTCCCAAAAGCAGCAGTTCTCTACCTGCTGCGTGACTGGGATTGTGAGGAGCACACCTGGGAAGGCAGGGCTGGGAGCTGGAGCTGATGTGGTAGCCCAGCTCCTGGGCAGTGAAGCTGCTCGCTGTTTCCTCAGCTCCACTCTCAGTATTTCCTGGGGCAGCAGTGACCTGGAGGAGTTTGGGGGAGAGGGGTCCTGTGGGTTTGCAGAAATGGCCCCACGTACCTGCTGGGGCAGTGCTCACACTGCTGTCCCTCACTTTGGAGGGAGCACAATGCCATGGGATCCTCCATGGCTTCCCACTGCCAGAGGGCAGGAGTAAATGGAATACTGGGGAGAATCCTTCCTGGGAGGGTGGGGAGGGGCTGGGCTGGAATTGGCTGCCCCTGGATCCCTGGCAGTGCCCAAGACCAGGTTGGGCAGGGCTTGGGACACCCTGGGACAGTGGGAGATGTCCCTGCCATGGCAGGGGTGGCACTGGATGGGCTTTAAGGTCCCTTCCCACCCCAGCCATTCCACGGTCCTGTGATCACTCCCAGTGCCAGGTTCCACCTGGGCTGCAGGTGGCCTCACGGTGGCACTTGGTGTCTCCCTGGCAGAAAGGTGTGTTTCAGCTCATGGACGAGGACTATTTCATCGAGCCCGTGTCCAGCAGCCCGCGGGAGGAGGGAGCAGCACAGCCCCACAGGATCTACAAGCGCCAGGCTCCCCAGGACAGGGCTGAGCAGGGCAGGAGAGCCCCGGCCCCGCGGCAGTCCTGTGGTGTACAAGGTACTGTTCCCCCCTCTGTGTCACCAGTGACCCACTGGGTGCTGGACCTCGGGCTCATCTCCTGCTCCCAGCCCTGCTGCAGGCTGGGGGTGATGTGGAGACAGATTTTGCTTTCATTTCCAGCAAAACTTTGGTTTTGACCTGCCAGGGCATGGGACTTTGGCAGTGGAGCTCGGTGGCTGCCCCGGGAGTTCCCACTGTCGGTCCTTCCCTGTGCACGGCAGATGGGTTGGATAAACTCCCAAATTTCAGCCTTTCAAGTGCTGAGGAATTCTGAGGAATTCAGTGCATTCCCAGAAGCTCGTGGGCACTTTGCTCCCTGGTGAAGCTGCAGTGCACTATGTGCTGCACATTTTCTGGAGGTCTCTGCTTTCACAAACTGGGGTTTGCTTCTGTAACAGGGCTGTCTTCAGGCATTCTTCTGATAATCTAAATTAATTACTTAATCTGTGGTGATAATCTTAATGGCTTCACTTAGGCTTTGAAGTCTGTTCTTGACTCAAGTCCCTTCTGGACTTTGAAGTCTATTCTTGAGCATTAATTTCTCTGGGTATTCCATGGCCTGTTATTCATGAGGATCTGCTCTGTAATCAGGACCAGAGGGGTGGACGTGCTGTGCATGCCCTGGAGGGGAATCCCAAAGGAGTCCCAAAGTCTGTAGGATTTTAGTGACTGCCATCCTCCCTCTGGGCTCTGCTGTGTTGCTCTTTGCTTTGCCACGACAGGCAGATGCTGCTGGTGTTGTTTAAGTCCTGTCAATGCCCAGGGCTGCCCTGGGCTCAGCTGGGTGCTGTTTGACTGGGATAATGCCAGGGGGAATGCCCCCCTGGGCATCCCCAGCTCTGCAGCAGCCTCATATCCCAGCTCAGCACTAAGGCCACACCAGGAACGAGCTCCAAGTGCGATTAAACTGTCCCAGTGGTATTAGCAGTTCATCAGGAGGCGCAGATAGCTGGGGTTTCTCAGGCTGGGGATGAAACGCCCTTTCACAGCACGCGCTCCCTGCAGCCCGGGACATGTAGGAGTGCATTGTTGGGGAAGCCAGGCTCCGACGCCATGAAAGCGATTCCCACTGTGTGGGATGAGGTTTGTAAAGCCTTCACCCAGCCCGGGCTGACCCTGACCTTGCTCTTGGAGCCGTGTCACAGGAAAAGTCCCCGCTGCAGAATTCCAGAGCTGCTGTGCATGAGCAGCGCTGAGCTCCCCCGCCTCCGCGCTCCAGCCAGCATTCCCCTCGGGAAGGAGCTGCTCTTCTCTTCTCTTCTCTTCTCTTCTCTTCTCTTCTCTTCTCTTCTCTTCTCTTCTCTTCTCTTCTCTTCTCTTCTCTTCTCTTCTCTTCCCTTCCCTTCCCTTCCCTTCCCTTCCCTTCCCTTCCCTTCCCTTCCCTTCCCTTCCCTCCTCCCTTCTTTTCTCCTGCTTTGGGGGCACAGAGTTCATCGTGGTGGGAACTGTTCTTTCCTGACAAACACAGATTTGGAGTGACCCCAAATGTGCAGCCACTGGGGTTTTTCCTCGGGTTGTTTCTCAAGCATCTCTGCAGTGTTGTCTACAAATTCCTGTGTCAGGACAAACGCCAAGACTCTGCTTTGGGAGGCTCCCTGTTTCTTGAGGAATATTGCAAACCCAGTTCTGGTCAAAGAAATTCCTCCAAATGCTCTGTTTTGTTTTGGTTTTGTTTTGTGTCCTGCTCATGTGCAGCAGGCTGAGCTCAGAGTCCTTTGGAGCAGAGCACAGCAAAGTGCACATGAGTTACTGAGTTATGAGTTAGAGTTGTGGCTCTGAGTGGGAGCCTTCTCCACATCAAAGGTGATTCCTTTGAATTAAAAAAAGAAGATACTAAAGTTGCAGGCACTTGATCAAGGAAAGAAATCTTTTTCCCCTTGAATCCCTCAGAGTCTCAGGAAGGCCTGGAGCGGTCTGAGAGGCGCAGGGAGAGGTGGGAGCAGAAGCAGCAGAGGAGGAGAAGGATCAGGCAGCGCTCCGTCAGCAGGGAGAAGTGGGTGGAGACGCTGGTGGTGGCAGACACCAAGATGGTAGAGTTCCACGGCAGTGCCAACATCGAGAAGTACGTGCTGACCGTCATGAACATGGTGAGTGCTGGCCTGCAGTGCCGGGCCCCTGCGGGTGGGGAGGCACCCACAGCTCACCCAGGAGCCCCTGACACGGACCACGGGGACGTGGGCAGGACAGCTGAGGGAAGGACAGCAGGGACAGCCAGGCGTGGTGGTCTGTGCTGGCAGTCTGGGGGCTGTGCTGCTGCCGTGACACCAGCAGACAAGGAGGTGGCTCAGGCTGCCCCTCTGCTGCTGCCGGGGTGGCTCTTGGCATTCCAGAAGAAAGCTTTGGTTGATGCCAGGAGAGGGTGGGAGGGGGCAGAGGAGCTCAGGTAACATCCCTGGATGGATTTCTGGGGTGCTGAAGGCGCCCAGAGAGCACCAAACTCCTTTGAGATGCTAAACACATCCAGCAGGAGTGAGAGCAGAGGGGTCCCCGGGCGTTTCTGGCTGGGTTCCTGCACAGATCACATCAGTGTGAGTGGATTTCATGGCAGCCTCGCTCCAGCCCCGTGTCTGCTCTTGTCTCCCACCTGGGGAATTCCTGACGTCTTGTCAGCAGCCTGCAGGAGCTGCTGCAGCTGGAGGGGGCCGCAGCAGTGTCCTGGCTGCTGTGTGTCCCCAGCCATGTGCCCTGGTGTCCCACTGCAGGTGGCAGGGCTGTTCCACCACGCCAGCATCGGGAACCCCATCAACATCGCCATAGTGCGGCTGATCCTGCTGGAGCACGAGGAGGTGAGGCCCAGACTGGGCTGGGCTGGGCTGGGCTGGGACCAGGCTCCCCCCTGGCCTGGCCCAGAGTGTGTGGAGAAGTCCAGGTGCCCACCTTTGCCTCCTTTCTGGCTGGTGGAGCCAGGGTCAGTGTGGGCAGAGGAGCTGCAGAGCCTGGCTTTGGGGTGGTTTGTGGTGACACAGTGGTGTCACTGTGGTGACAGAGGGCTCTGGGTGGTCCTGTCCAAGCTGCCGTGGTGGCTCTGGGGGGCCTGAGGCCACTCAGGGTCTCCACTGCCAGCCAGCACACGGGGTTTTCCTGCAGTGGTTCTTAACCCCTGTTACGGGGTGATTTAATGTTTTGGTTGAATCACAGATGAAAAGAAAGCAGGAAAAGGGCTGTCTTCCCACCCAGCCTACAAGCTATAAACATGGAGCAGTTCCATTTGGATGGCACTCGCTCCCAATCCCACTCTGATGTGTCTGGGCTCAGACCTCTCCCCTCCCCATCCCAAAATCCAAACAGCTCCAGCAGATCTCCCTTCATGTTGGCAGGAGGACCTGAAGATCTCCCACCACGCAGACAACACCTTGAAAAGCTTCTGCAAGTGGCAGAAGAGCATCAACGTGAAGGGAGACTCCCACCCCCTGCACCACGACGTGGCCGTGCTGCTCACCAGGTGTGGAGCCCTCACACAGCTCTGGGGCTGTGCAGCAAAACTCACCTGGCTGCAGGTGGGGACAGCCAGGGGGACATCTCCTGGGAGCTCTTGAAATCTCACTCTCCCTGCCTGGACACCTGCATGTAAGATCTGTAGTGTGAAATCTGGGGATGTTTCCTGGTGCTGGAGCTGCTGTGGAAGGTGTCCCTGCCCAGGGCAGGGGGCTGGAATTAGATGATCTTTAGGATCCCTTCCAACCCAAAGCATTCCACGGGTCTGTGATTCCGTGGACTGGTCCAAATCCAGGTTTGAACCTGGACACAGCTCCCAGCTGAGCTTTCCAAACCAGGTTTTCACCGTGGCCCTGTTGCCAACCCCCAGAGGGGCTGGATGCAGGAGCTGTACACAGGATTAACTCTCCTTTTTCCCTCAGAGGCTGGGCTTGGCAGAGGAGCCTCTGGGAAGCCCTTGACCTCCCACGGAGCTGGCAGGAATTCCTGCCTCTGGCCAAGTTTGTGTACCTTGCAGTCAGAGCCTGGTTTGAGGCTTTCAGGCTGCCGTGAGCTGCCTGTTGTGGTGGTTTGATTCACAACCCACAGCAGCTCTGTCTTCCCTGGGAGGTTGCTTTGTAGCAGAAATGAGGCACTTCAGGCCTTGTACTTTAGTGGGGCTGTTCTTCCTGGGTGGCTGGAGCTGCCCTGGAAAACCACAGCACCTCTGGGATGTGCTTCCCCCAAACATTGTTTGATTATCCCCAGCATCAGCTTTATTTATACAAGGGAATAAACGCAGCCAGGCTGGCCAGCAGCTCCCATTAATCAGGCTTAATCGTGAGCTGGGGATACTGGGAGGGGAGAGGGGAAAGGAGAGGTCATAAAAGCTTCCCCTGTGGAAGGATGTTGGCTGTCTCTCTCTCACTCCTGTTTGGCCGCTGTCCGTGTGCCGGGTCCTGCCGCCTTCCAACGCCCTCTCTGCTCTGTGTCTGTCTGTCTGTCCGTGTGCCCTCGTCCCCTCGGCCAAGGAAGGACATCTGTGCTGCCATGAACAGGCCCTGTGAGACCCTGGGGCTGTCCCACGTGGCCGGGATGTGCCAGCCCCACCGGAGCTGCAACATCAACGAGGACACGGGGCTGCCCCTCGCCTTCACCGTGGCCCACGAGCTGGGACACAGGTACCACCCTCTTCCTCCTCCTCCTCCCGTTCTCTGCGTGCACCCTGGGGCTGGAGAAAGCACGGGGGGAAGTTGGGAGATGGTTCCCAGGTGGTTCCTCACGGGTGCAAACACTCCCTTGCTCCCTGAGGGTTTCATTCCAGAGTGAAGTTTTGGGTTGTCCCAGGTTTAATGAGAAGCACACAATCCAAGGCAACCTGGAGAAATTGCACCTGTGTATTGTCCTGGGGTGGTGTGGGAAGGTTTTGGAGCAGGGCTTGCCCACTGAGAGGTTTTAAAGTAGGATCTGTCTGTAATGTCAGCGACAGAATTTTGCTTGCCCCGGTTTCAGTTAAACTTTGACAGGATCCCTTGAGCACTGCAGTTCCCAATAGACATGCCTGTGTGGGAAACACCCACCAGCGAGATCCTGTAGAACATTGCTGAGTTTTCAGTGGGAAAGCTGCAGGGGACAAGGCCCAGGGCTGTCAGCACAGGGCCCCAGGGCAGGGCCCTGCTCCCGCGCGGTGGCGGTGGGGCTGTGGGGCCGTGGCTCACCTCCCCTCCATGGGCTGTGTCTTACACAGTTTTGGGATTCAGCATGATGGAAGCAGCAATGACTGTGAGCCAGTTGGGAAAAGACCTTTCATCATGTCTCCACAGCTCCTGTATGACACGTCCCCACTCACCTGGTCCCGCTGCAGCCGCGAGTACATCACACGCTTCCTCGAGTGAGTGCTTCCTCCTCTTCCTCCTCACTGATGGGGCTGGGGGTCGGGGCCAGGCAGGGGGGTGCTCTCATCTCTGAGACAGCTCTCCAAGAGTGTTGGGGGTCTTTGCCCAGAGCAGCTGTGGCTGCCCCATCCCTGGGAGGGTCCGAGGCCAAGGCTTGGAGCAGCCTGGGGTAGTGGGAGGTGTTCCTGCCCATGGCAGGGGTGGGATGAGAGGGGCTTTGAGGTCCCTTCCCACCAAACCATTCCACGATTCCATGGATCCACCCTGGGTTGCCTCACTCTGTGCTGTGAATGGGGATCAGGAGCTTTTGGGGGGCACAGGGTTGCACAGATAAAACCAGAGTGTTTTCCCTCAGTGCTCCCTGCAGGAGATTCCCTGCGGAATCTCTTCCATTCTCTCTCCCTGTCATGGGCAAACCAGATCCAGCCAAATTCTTCCCTGCCTTTGTTTATTTTTAGCACCCGTGGCTGATTTTTCAGCCTGTTGTTAGGAAGTTCCAAGGAGCCCAGCCCGGAGTTTGGTTTGTCAGCAGTGGCTTGCACTGGAGGAACATTTCCCCGTGCTGCTGGCAGGTTTGGAAGCAGTGAGAGCAGGGCCAGGGGAGGCTGCTGGGGCCAGGCTCTGCTCCCAGATCCAGCCTGGCCGTGTGGGCTGGCCCCGTGCAGGGGAGCTGCTGCTGATTTATGGCTTTGTGAGGAGTGGAGGAATGGAGCTCGCCCGCATCCGCCGCGCTCTTGGCCCTCTGCTTTTAACCTTCACTTGGGGAGGAAGAATTTCCTGCCTGTGCTGACCCCGGGCTGCTGCAGGCTGTGATGGGGAGACAGAGCAGCTGGAAGCCCCTCTGCTGGGGTTTTGGTCTCTCTGCTCCCCCAGAAGGAGCAGCTCTTCCTCGGGAGAGGGCCTGGCAGGCGTCTGTCACCGGCTGTGACGCCCAGGGCCAGCACAGGGCCAGCAGGCAGGAGCGTGTTGTAGGGGATGCTGGCAGGAGAGCAGCAGGGAGGGAGCCAGGAAACCCGACCCTGCTGACCTGGGGCTGCGGGGTGTGCTTGGAACAGACCTCACGTTGGGAGAGCCGCGCTCTTGGATGTGATGATTATTGTTTTACACGAGGTCGTTGTTGTTTCACAAGCACTGCTGAATGCTGCAGCATCTGAAAGTGATTCCCGGCCCCAGCACTGCAGTCAGGGCTGGCTGCAGCTGGGGCTTCACTCAGGCTCTGCCTGGACACAAGGGGACACTGGCACAGGTCCTGTCCCCAAGGAAGGTGTCCCCTCGCTCAGGCCAGTGTAGGGTGCTGGCACAGCGTGGCTGCTGATGCTCTGCTGGTGAAGGCACCCTTCAGACTTTGCTCTACATCAGACAGCCAGATTTTCAGCCTTTTTCCTCAGTGCTGGAGCTCTTCTTCCATCATCCTCCTCTGCCAGGGCCTGGGGCCTGCTGCCCTTGCCCTGCCCGTGCCCCCCTGTGCCAGCCCCTCCACCGTGGCTGTGCAGCTGATCCTTCCCAAGCTCCCAGCTTTGCCTTTGTTTCTATTGAATTGTGTCCTGGCTTCCTTGGACCCTTCCTCCAGTTCTCTGGGAGCTTTTGGAATTTTAATCCTGCTCTCAAATGTATCTGCAGATCCTCTCAGGCTGCTCACAGATGGGGATTCAATCACTGTTCCATCCAGTCCATCCTCCAGCTCGTTAAGAGCGGGCTGGAACAGGCAGAGCAGTGCAGACCTTGCATCTTTCCCTCTGGACTGGGATTTACTGCAGATCCCTGGGAGCCAGAGGGAAACTCAGGCCAATTTTTCCCTGCTTGGAGATGTGTTTTGGCTGATTGAACAGACCACGAGAATGGTTGTAAAATATTTAACAAAGCAATGGATTCTGGAAAAGCTGGAAAGCTGAGGCAGACCCCAGTCACCCCCAGACTGGACAGAGACCCTTCTGTGAGCTGGGGCAGGGCAGGGAGTGCCCCAAGCTGGTCAGAGGAGGCTGGGGACAGTGTAGGGGGGACCTGTGGGGCCCCAAACAGGCACAGGGTGAAGGGTCAGAGCAGCATGAGTGTCACACCTGGGGCTCAGCCAGGATGAAGGGCTTGAGCCTGGACTTTTTCCAGTAAGGACACCTTCTGTTTTTAGAGAAAACACTGCAAGTGTACAGAATGGGATGGGCTTTAAGGCTCCTTCCAACCCAAACCATGCCAGGGTTCTGGGATTCTGTGGGAATATGTGGACCCTGTCCAGCTGCCCAGCCCATGCCCCATCCATCCCTGCTCAGCCCCCATCACCCACAGGGAGGGAACCCTGCCCTTCCCACTGGGCTGGATGCTGCTGCTGTTGGGGGTTTGGAAATGGAGGTTTTTGAGCCCCCGGGCTGCTGAAAGCAAGCCCTTTCCTGGTTCTTGCCACAGGGAAATAAAGTGTGTTTCAGTGAGGACGTGCAGGGGAGTTAGGGGCTGTCTGCAGCCAAGGGAGCTCTTTGCAGGTGTGGAGCTCTGGGTGGGATGGGAAAGGGAAGGGAGGAGGGGGCTGGTTCTGCTGGCACCCCCCGTGGCACTGCCAGCACCCAGAGCAGCAGCTCTGCTGCTGCCAGCCCCGTTTCCCTGCTGCTGCTTTGGGTTAGAAGGGAATCTCATGGCACGGGAGTTCCGAGCCGTTCCCATGCCAGCAAACCCGGGTAATCCGATCCTGCCAGGGGCTCGGCCTTGCTGGAAACGAGTTTGAAATAACACGGGCGGGCTGAGCTGGTGACAGCCCCGGCCGCATGCGGGAAGTGTCACAGCAAAGCAGCTGGAGCAGAGGGGGCACTGCCCGCCTCACTGCCACACATGCCCACAGCTGTCCTGTGCGTGGCACGGTGGTGGCACATCTGGCTGCTGATCGTCTCTGTTCTGTGATCACAGCTGCAGGGACACTCCTGGCTGCTGAGATTAATGTCCACTGGCACATTTGTGGTGGTTTCCCCTTCTGCCATGTCCTGCCACGCCAGGGGGATGGGGGGGATGGCTCTGGGGGGCTCCCACCCCACGAAGGTGCCCAGAGGTGCCCGTCCACACGGGAGCAGCTCCAGGGATGCAGAGGCAGGGCTGTGGCAGTGGGAAATGCTGGCTGCTCCTCCTGGGACGTGCCCAGCTCCTGTTCCCAGCCCCTGCTGGAGCGTGGGACGCTGGGTGACACTGCTGTGGCTCTCTCTTGCAGCCGGGGCTGGGGGCTGTGCCTGGATGACCCCCCGGCCCGGGAGCTGCTGGACTTTCCCCTGGTGCCCCCGGGCGTCCTGTACGACGTGGGCCACCAGTGCCGGCTGCAGTACGGCCCCTACTCCACCTTCTGCGACGACATGGACGTAAGGGGGGCATGGGGGGCATGGGGGGCTTTGCTGGGGCTGTGCCCACCCTGCCCGAGGGATGGATCTGGTCTGCACCCCAGGGATGGATCTGTGCCCGAGGGAGGGACCTGTGCCTGGGGAAGGGATGTGATCTGTGCCCAAGGGATGGACCTGATCTGTGCCTAAGGGAGGGATCTGATCTGTGCCCGAGGGATGGATCTGTGCCTGAGGGATGGATCTGTGCCCAAGGAAGGGATCGGTGCCCAAGGGATGGATCTGATCTGTGCCTAAGGGAGGGATCTGATCTGTGCATAAGGGAGGGATCTGATCTGTGCCTGAGGGATGGATCTGTGCCCAAGGAATGGGTCGGATCTGTGCCTGAGGGATGGATCTGTGCCCAAGGAAGGGATCGGTGCCCAAGGGATGGATCTGATCTGTGCCCCAGGGAGGAATCTGTGCCCGAGGGATCTGATCTGTGCCCAAAGGATAGACCTGATCTGTGGCCCAGGGAGGGCTCTGAGCCCCAGGAAGGGCTCTGTGCCAGGCAGGAACGTGTCCCTCTCTTCCCACAGAGTGTCTGCAGCACGCTGTGGTGCACGGTGGGGAACACGTGTCACTCCAAGCTGGACGCAGCTGTGGATGGCACGGCCTGCGGGGAGAGCAAGGTAACAGGGGACACCCCTCGTGGCCTGGGGGAGCCTGCTCCTGCACACACAGGGGCTGGGCAGGGGCAGGGCAGGGGTGCCCTCATCGCTTGGGGCCACTTGAATCACCTGGGAAGGTGAAACCCCCAGGTAATGACTGTGGCAGGAGAGCACAAGGCTCAATCTGCTGCCGTGGTGGATGCTCCTCCCTGGGATCTTTCCCACTGCTGGGGAGGCACCTCTGAGCCCCTCTGGGCTGACACTGGGCTGTGACTCCCCTTGCTGAGGGGTCTCCACAGAGTTTTGGGTTTGCTGCTTCCCTCAAATCCTCAAAGAAACCAACACCTCTGAGTTTCCCATGCTTGGAAAACTGGAGCTGGAGGGAAGCTGGAGCTTGAGGAGCTCCAGGCTCTGGCAGAGCCCAGCTGACCCCAGGCAAGCAGAGCAGGGGTTTCCATGGGACAATCTGTGTGCTGGGCCCCAGTGCTCCCACCCTGAGCCCCGTTCTCCCTGTCCCACAGTGGTGCTTCAACGGCGAGTGCGTTCCCGTGGGATTCCGGCCCGAGCCCATCGACGGCGGCTGGAGCTCCTGGAGCTCCTGGGCCTCCTGCTCCCGCAGCTGCGGAGCAGGAGTGCAGAGTGCCGAGAGGCACTGCAGCCACCCCACGTAAGCCAGACCCCCAGGAGGCCAGTGAGGAGTCAGAACGCTGGGGTGGAGGGGCTGGGAGGGACTGGTTCCGTGCCCTGCCCCGGAGTGCTGCACTGTGACTCAGACAAAGGGCAGAGATGTAAAACATATCCAGTGTCCTTTAGTGACAGGACAGCAAAGCAGGCATTCTTGGAGCCTGATTCAGAGTTGTTTTGAAAAATCCTGCTGCAGTTTATCGCCCTGTGCATTCCATCAGCCAGTGCTGGCTGGAAGTGTCCGGGCACTGCTGCAGGAGCTGCCATCTCCATCCTGGGATTTCTGCTGACCCATCTGCTCCCCAGATGTCCCCTTGTCACCCAATCCCTGTTGCACTGCATTCAGCCAAAACCCCTGGCTTGCCCTGGTGTCAGAGCAGCCTGGGATGGGGAGGAAAAGGGCTTTGTAGTGATGTTCCAGGGGAGTCACTTTTCCATGGCATGGGGAGCTCTGGCAGCCCCAGGAGTGAGCTCCTGACCCTTCCAGACGTGTTCTGCCCATCCTCTTCCTCGGGTGAGTTTGGTGCGTGCTGCTGGGCTCTTGAGGGAAGTGCTCTGTCATCTCAGTCCTGGATCAGGACCTGGGTTTGTGTTTGACATAAACGCTGTGGCAGAGGTGCCATGGTGATTTGTGGAGTGTTCCAAACACAGCTGTGGACAGGCAGGAGAGCAAACACTGGGAGTTTCCCGGGCAGTTGTTTGCTTTGGCCACTGGAGGTAAATCTTCAGCTTTGCCCTTGGGATGAAGTGAGAAAATGTGTGCTGGGCATCCCCCCCTCCCACAGCCATTCCTCAGGGCAGAGCGTGTAAACACAGCCCTAAAATAATCATTAGCCTCATTCTCTTCAGCAGAGTGTGCCCAGGAGAAGGAATTCTCGTGAGGTCACTGGGACATGGGCCACGGGCTGTGGTGTGACTGAAGGACAAGGCAGCGTGGCGGGAGATGGTGGCCGTGTCGTGAGGGTCTGCTGGCATCTGAGAAAAGCACTGCTGTGCTTTAAAAAGTCCAGTGCCAGCTTTGCCTTTCCCTGGGGCAGCAGAGTCAGGGGGACTCCCTGGGTGGGAAGGAGAGCAGCTCCTCCAGAGCAGCCGCAGGGTGGGCACCAGCTGGAGGGGCTTGGAGCAGTGTGCTCTGTGGGAGGTGTCCCTGCCCGTGGCAGGGGGTGGAACATGGATGGATTTTGAGGTCCCTTCCGACCCAAACCGTTCCCCAGCTCTGTGGCCGAGCCCTGTGCCCTCCCAGCCCTTGTGTGACAGGATTTTGCCTCCCCAGGCCCAAGTACGGGGGCCGCTACTGCCTGGGCGAGCGCAAGCGGTTCCGGATCTGCAACGTGCGGCGCTGCCCCCCGGACAAGCCCTCCTTCCGCCAGCTCCAGTGCAGCCAGTTCAACCCCATGCCCTACAAAGGGAAGCTCTACAAGTGGACACCAGTGCCCAACAACAGTGAGTGCAGGGCAGAGCTTTCAAACCTGGAGCGGCCGGAGCTGGCAGTTTGTGTCCCAGCCTTGCCCGCTCGTGCTGTGTTTTGTATTTTACGCTGCCCTGGGCTTGCAGGGTTGATTGTGCTTTCGGAGATGCCGGTGCTGGGGCTGAGTGTGTGCCTTTCCCCAGTGAACCCCTGCGAGCTGCACTGCCGGCCCGAGCAGGAGTACTTTGCGGAGAAGCTGCGCGACGCGGTGGTGGACGGCACGCCCTGCTACGACAGCGACGCCAGCCGCGACCTCTGCATCAACGGCATCTGCAAGGTGGGGCTGCCACGGGCACACCCTGGGCTGGGAGAGCACCCTTGGGCGCTCGGCATCCCCTCCCTCTCGTGCTGAGCCTGCTCCTCTGGCCGTTCCCCACTTGGAGAGCGTTCCCATGGGGTGAGTGGTTCGGGCTGTGTCAGCCCCTGTGCTGGCCTCAAGGAGCCAGAGCATCACCCAGGCCAGGATGGACACAACCTGGAGCAGCCTTGGAGCACCCTGGTGTCAGGGAAGGTGTCCCTGCCTTGGCAGGGGGCTAGAAGTGGATTGTCTTTAAGGTCCCTTCCACCCCAGGCCATCCAGGATGCCGTGAATCCCCTGGGGACGATGCAGGCAGTGCTGGGAGGGACTGGGAGGTGCTGGTGTGGGGCTGACGGGCTGCCTTGCAGAACGTGGGCTGTGACTATGAGATTGACTCTCACGCCGTGGAGGATCGCTGCGGGGTGTGCCACGGGGACGGCTCCACGTGCCACACCGTCCACAAGACCTTCGAGGACAGCGAGGGGCTGGGTAAGGGCACCTCCTGCTGTCCCTGAGCACCCCGTGCTGGTCCGGCACTGCTGGGCTGCTGCTGCTCCTTTGGAAGGGCAGTTTTATTCCAACTTGTCGATTTTTTGGGGATAAGACAGCAGGGATCTCAGGTGGGCTCAGGGCAGGGCTTGGTGCCCACTGGTGCCTTACAGAGGTGTAGGGATTGGCACAGAGCTGGCACCCAGGGGACACGGCATCCACCCAAGGACAAAAATCATCTCACACACCTCTGACTCCCCCAAGACCAACGCGTGGTTCCATTCCCAGGTTATGTGGACATTGGGATTATCCCCGTGGGAGCCCGGGAGATCCGGATTGAGGAGGTGGCAGAAGCTGGGAATTTCCTGGCGCTGCGGAGCGAGGACCCGGAGAAATATTTCCTGAATGGTGGCTGGACCATCCAGTGGAACGGGGACTACAGGGTGGCAGGCACCACCTTCACCTACAAGAGGACAGGGAACTGGGAGAACCTCACCTCTCCGGGGCCCACCGTGGAGCCCGTGTGGATCCAGGTAGGATGGATCCTGCCCTCCTTGGGCTGAGCTGCCGTGGTCCCTACGGCCCTCCCTGCATCCAGGGCATGGGCTCTGCCCCTCCTCGGGGTGTGTTTCTCTGGGAGCTGGGGCAGCCAAGCACGCACTGCCAGCCCGGGGATGTTTCCAGCCCACACCACTTGCAGCTGAGCCTCATCCCCTTTGCAGCATTCCACAGAATATTTACCCAGAGAGGGAGTGTGAGGAGAAAGAGCCGTTTCCTGAGGCCTTTCCCCTATCTTATCACCAGCAGGGAAAGAGCCCCCGGTGCTTCTGGCTGGGCTGGACAGTCAGGAGTGAGGGAGCTGCCAGCTCATGCAGAGCTGCTGGAGTCAGTGTCCTTGTGACCGTGAGGCCAAGCCTTCCTCTGCAGAAACCAGTGGGAGTCATCCCACACGTGGTGGCACAGCTGGCACCAGGCTGACGTCCCTCGTGGTGCCAGGTGTGGTGCAGAGGTGGTGGTGGCCACGGAGCTGCATCCCATGGACCCCCAGGATCCTCCTGCCCTGGCAGTCATGGCCCAGCCAGCAGAACATCCCTGCCTTGCACAGGCTCACTCAGAGCTCAGCCACCCCGAGCAGCCACAATCTCCTTCTGCCTTTCCTTCAGCAGCAGCTCGGGGTGGGATGTGAGCAGGATCCTGGGCCTGCTGCTGCCAAGGGAAGTTAATGGGAATGCTGACACTGTTAATGGGAATGCTGGCGTGCTCAGCACCCACAAATCACTTTCTGGGATTCATAAGCTAATTAAAACCTGTGGACAACAACGTTTCGATATTCATGGAGAGGTTTTGGAAAGACGCCCTGGCTCCTGCCAAAGCTCCAAGAACAACAAAGCTTTGGCAATAATGGGAGTGCTTAGGCTAAGAAAAACAGGGATGAACTCCTGGCCCTCGCGAGCGTGGGTGCAGGAGGCGCTGCCAGAGGGCTTGTGTCAACCACAGCAGCAGGAGCCCCTCTGGATGGGAGGCAGCGTAGGAAATTCCACCCGTGGGCAGGGACCCCTTCCACAAACCGAGCTACTCCAGGTGCCATCCAGCTCTGTTGGGGAGCTGGGCACAGGGCCACGTCCTTCTGGCCCTGCTGGGCAGCTCCTTCACCCTGAGAAGCCCTTGGTGCAGTGCCACCCCCCGCTGCCCTGCCTGACTACCCCCTGCCTGTCCCCTGTGTCCCCCAGCTGCTGCTCACCCTGTCCCCATGTCCCCCAGCTGCTGTTCACCCCCTGGCTGTCCCCGTGTCCCCCAGCTGCTGTTCACCCTGTCCCCATGTCCCCCAGCTGCTGTTCACCCCCTGGCTGTCCCCATGTCCCCAGCTGCTGTTCACCCTGTCCCCATGTCCCCAGCTGCTGTTCCAGGAGACCAACCCCGGGGTGAGGTACCAGTACACGATCCAGCGCCCGGCTGACAGTGAGAACGAGATCGAGCAGCCCGAGTTCCTGTGGCGCTTTGGCTCCTGGACCACCTGCACGGCCACCTGTGGGACAGGTGAGTGCAGCCCCGGGACTCCCCCTCCGAGCAGGGGAGCCTTGGAAATTCCTGGGTCTTGGGTTTCAGGGGGTCCTAGGGGCAGAAGAAAGGGACATGTGCTGAGGTCAGGCCCGCGTGCTCCGCAGGAACCCCAGGGCTTTATCAGCGCTCCCGGCTCGGTGTCCTGTTACCCGGCACGGGATGGAGACAAAAGAGCTTTAGAGAAATCAGGGAGTGTGGAAGGGCTGCTCTCCCGCCTGGCTGGGGCTCTCCACGGGGGGAGGACATCCAGGGTTTTACAGCCCCACGGTGTCCGTGTGTGGATGTTTGCTTCCCCATCCTGCCCCCCTGCACCACTGGCTGGGTGTCCCAGGGTCCCTGGGGCAGCTTTTGGGGCAGCTGGTGCAGAGGGACATTTCTGGAGCTCTGCCAGGAGAGACTGGGAGCAGCAAGCACTTCCTCGAGAGCAGCTGGCACTGGAAAAAAGGGGAATTCAAGGACACTTGTGCTTTCTAGGTAGCACAGAGTGCCAGGACATGGCCTTTGTTTAAAACCAGCTTTTCTTTGTATGATTCGAGTGCTTGGCTTCCAGAACAGAAGGGAAATAGAGGAGTGAATGAGGCAGGAGTCGGGTGAGGGTGAGCAGCTGGAGGAGGGCTGAGCCCCTCTTCCTGCACTGAGTGATGATGTGAGATGAGATGTGGCTTGGGAGAGCTCACAGTGAGCCTCTGGTGAGTCCCAAGGCCCTGTGAGCTCCCAAGTGCTTGAGCCAGAGCCCAGCTCAGCAGGGTTCTGTCAGTCTCAGCTGAGCTGTGGTGACAGCTCTCCATGTCACAGGTCAAGTACGTGTTACAGAACGGGGACAGAGGCCGGGGCGAGGCAGTGTGGTGAGGTCACATAAAAACCCCTGGGAGCAGACTGGGGGCACGAGGCTTTGGGCAGCGCTTTGTGCTGAGCTGGGCTGGGGCAGGGCTGCCAGCAGAGCCAGCTTCTGCCCCTTGGCAGCCCCGGAACTCGCAGTGCTCATGGCTGGGTGTGCTCCGGGCAGCGCTGCCTGCACGGCTCCAGCTGCCATCCTGCCCCAGTGCCAGGGCTCTGCCAGGCCATCTCAGCCTCAGCACCAAGGAACTTGCAGCTTCAAGTGGTGCTTTCATTTTCTCCCCACTCTCCTGGCTCACCTAGAGCCTCCTGTGCCCTGCTGGGTGGTCGGGTTCGGTTTCCAAAGCTGTGCTGGTGCCTGTGTGGTGCCAGTGCCCTGGGGGTGCCCGGGGGTGCCTGTGAGCACCCAGGGGTGCCCTCAGTGCCCACCCACCCGCAGGGGTGCAGCGGCAGGCCGTGCACTGCGTGGAGAGGCTGGCGGGCCTGGTGGAGGAGCGGTTCTGCGACGCGCTCGCGCGCCCCGACGACCGGCAGCGCGCCTGCAGCGAGGAGCCCTGCCCGGCCAGGTGCCACCCGCCCTGCTCCCCCTTCCTGGCCCTGGGGATGGGCTCCCGGCCCTGGGGGGGTCCATGGCAGCATCCCTGGGGTTGTCTGACCGCCGCAGGGCATTGTCCACAGGCAGAGCCTCACAGACGGTGCCATCCTGGCAGGATGCTCCTCTCTGCCTCTGTGCACATTACCCTGGCACAGATCGGGGACTGTCCCATCCCTGACCCTCTGTCCCAGCTCCCAGACCATGGGCTGACACATTCGGGATCCTCCTTTCCCCATGGCCTCACGTGATGGGCAATGGGATGGGTCCTGCGGCACGGCTGCTTGCTTTGGCTGAGACCTTTCCCTTTCCCCTTTTCTATTTCCCTCTTCCCCTTTTCCCCTTTCTCCCTTTCCCCTTCCCATTTCTCATTCCCCCTTTCCATTCCCCCTTTCCATTCCCTCTTTCCATTCCCCCTTTTCCCCCCCTTTTCCCCCTTTTATTCCCCCCCTTTCACCCTTTTTCCCCCATTTTTCCCTTTTTTTCCCCCTTTTCCCCCCCTTTTCCCCCTTTTATTCCCCCCCTTTTTCCCCCATTTTTCCCTTTTTTTCCCCCTTTTCCCCTGCAGGTGGTGGGTGGGCGAGTGGCAGAAGTGCTCAGCCACGTGTGGCCGGGCAGGGCTGATGAAGAGGACAGTGCTGTGCATCCAGAGCGTGGGGCTGGATGAGCAGAGGGCCCTGCAGCCAGCAGACTGCCAGCACCTCGCCAAGCCAGATGCCACCATGCCCTGCCACCCAGAGGTGCCCTGTCCCTCCCCGTGGGCTGTGGGCAACTGGTCCGAGGTGAGAGGGGACTTTGGGGGTGTCCCAGTGTCTTGCAAAGGGGTGGGAGCTGGGGACAGGGATCCCCGCACACCTCAGCCTGCCCCAGAGCAATGGCTGTGCTCCTGCTCACAGAGATCCATGGCTGTGTCCCTGTGGGGCCAATGGATGGGAATTCTGTCCATTGGAGGGGTCTCAGGGTGAGGAGGGGGCGTTGGGCAGTTTAACTCTTCCCCCGCCCCTATGGATGTGAATTCCAGGCATTGGAGGGGTCTCAGGGTGAGGAAGGAGCATTGGGCAGTTTAACTCTGCCCCAGCCCCCATGGATGGGGATTCCATTGCTTGGAGGGGTCTCAGGGTGAGGAAGGAGCATTGGGCAGTTTAACTCTGCCCCAGCCCCCATGGATGTGAATTCCAGTCATTGGAGGGGTCTCAGGGTGAGGAGGGGGCGTTGGGCAGTTTAACTCTGCCCCAGCCCTGGGCTCTGCAGCTCCCTCACACAGGGTGAGGGCCACGCTCTGTGCTTGGCACAAGGAGGGCAGAGATGGGGTTTTCAGCTGGACATGGCTTGGAACAGCCTGGTGCAGTGGAAGGTGTCCCTGCCCACAGCAAGGGGTGGAACTGGATGATCTTCAAGGTCCCTTCCAACCAAATGATTCCATGGGGTGATTAATGGTGGCACTCTGTGTAGCCTTGATTTATTTTTGTGTTTTTGTGAATCAGCTTAACCACAGGCTGAGGGTTTCAACCAGAAAATGATAACCCCTAATTTAAACAGCCTTTCCAAAAGTGTTCAGAGTGAAGACAAATATCAGGAGAGAAAGGAGAGAGCCTGGGAACAGAGCTGGTTGCTAAGGAACAAATGGAATCAAATGTGAGCAGAGGATTTGAAGGCTAGATGAGAGCAAGTTGGAAATATTTTTCTAGGGGCCCCCAAAAGCCACAATTAAGGGCTGAGAAAGATGGATGCAATGATTTAAAGGGAAAATTACAGACTATAGGTGGGTCAGTGCTGGGCAGGGCAGCCCCAGCCCTCACAGCTGGCCTCTGTGGTGTTGGCACCAGTGGATTTGTGAGCCCTGGAGAAAATGTGTTTGGGATTTTGAGGAGCTGAAATTTTTCTGTCCTTTAATTTAAAGGGAGAGCCCTTTTTCTTTTCCATTTCCACCGTAATTAGGGGCACTGGAAGGGCTTGGGAGCTTCCCAGAGCCGTGGTCCTTCTGTCAGCAGTAGCAGCAGGGTGGGGCAGAGCCAGGCAGGAGCAGTGTGCCCGTCTGGCACTGGGGCACCTGGCCCTGCCAGGGGCTCTCTGGGGTTCGGGGGGCCCACGGCTGCCTCACCCTGGGGCTCAGTGCCTCAGAGGAGCCCGCAGCCCTGCACGTGCAGCTTTGTGCAGTTTCCAGAGGGGCTGGTGCAGTCAGAGGGCTGCTTTGGTGTTCCTCAGGGAGCAGCTCCTCGCAGCCCTCTCACAGGGGTTGGTGTGTGCTAATGTTTGATTCCAGCTCCAGAAATGCCTGGTGGTGGCCACGTGGTGTAACCTGGGAATGCTGGAATGGGGTGGAAAGGACCTTAAAGCTCATCTGGTTCCACCCCCTGCCATGGGCAGGGACACCTTTCACAAGCCTGAGTTGCCCCAAGCCCCAAATGCAGCAGAAAGTGCTGCTGTTCTCCTTTCCAGCTTCTCAGTTTCTTTTGTACTGACCCATCTCAAAGAGCCCATTATGGGGATGGTGTGTCCCCAGCAAAGCTCCTCCCTGACCTTTGCTTTTTCCCTACTCAGACAACACCCACGTTGTTGTTCCCTGCTTCAAAGAACGCTCTTCTAGAAGAAGAGCTGCAATTCATGGCAATAGGTCACAGGAAAGGCCTATTAGCTCATCTCACCCCTGCCCTTCCCAGCCTCCCTCTCCCGGGAAAGCTGTTCCTGGCTGGAAAGCAGGGCAAGGATCACCCTGAGCACAGTCCCCACAGCTCCAGCCCTGCTCTGGCACGGTCTGCAGGAGGGGATTTGGGCAGTAATGCTGTGCTTGCCAGGGTGAGCAGTACCCACGGGTGGGACTGGCACAGCAGCTGTCCAGGGCCAGGTGGGAGCTGGCAGAGTGATGTGGAGCCCTCACAGAGGGAACCCTCACTGTGGCACCTCTCCTGGCCTTGTCCCACAGACCTGTCCCTCTCTCTTCCCTGCCAGTGCTCGGTGAGCTGTGGGAACGGGACCCAGCGGCGTGCAGTCCACTGCAGCAGCAGCAGCAGCACCAGCAGCAGCACCAGCAGCAGCAGCAGCAGCGGGGCCCCCTGCGACCCTGCCCAGAGACCCAGCCCCGAGAGGCCCTGCTCCTTGCCACCCTGCCACCAGAAATGGGACAGCGACTGGTCTGGCAGCGGCTCCTCCAGCAGGGAGATATTCAATGAAATCCATTACTTCCCCAGCCACCACATTCCTAAACTTAACCCCTTGATCCCGAACATCCCGGAGTCCAACGACGTCAATGTCATCACCGAGGAGGACTTCTCAGCCAGGAAAGGAAATGTCTTTGTCGATGATTTTTACTACGATTACAACTTTATCAACTTCCACGAGGATCTGTCTTACTATCCCTTCACGGAGAAGGAGCCCAAGGGCGAGGAGCCAGAGGCAGGGCTGGGCACTGCTGGCACGGAGGGGCCCTGGGAGCTGCCCACCGAGCTGGCAGGAGAGAGCCAGGAGCAGCCAGCCCCCGAGGAGGAGCACACCCCTGCTCCTGTGGATGGACAGCACACAGAGCCCGGGGCTTTAGCCACCAACGACCTCCTGAGCATGGGCCCCGAGGATGTGGGATCAGCCACTCCCAGCTACACCACCCCTGGAGTTTTGGCTGAGGAGGAGGAGGAGGATACGGTGCCTGTGCCCCACTCTGAGCCCCACAGAGCTGTGCCCAGCAGCAGCAGCCTTGGGCAGGGTGTCCCTGCTCCCTGGGGTCCCCACCCAGCTGGTGTGGGCTGGGGCACGGCTGGGGTGGATGTGTCCCTTGGGCCAGCAGCACGGGACAGCGAGGGCCCTGTGAGCCACGGGGACTCCGGGGAAGTGGCTCTGGCCACCACCAGTGACATTGATGGTGCAGCCCCACAGCCCACTGAGCAGCACGGCTGGGCAGGAGGGCAATCCCATGGCATGGAGAGGGCACACCTTGCCTTGCCCACCCTGCAGACCCCAGGCTGGGGGGTGGCAGGGAGGGCTGGCAGCCTGCACCCTGCCGTGAGTCCCCCTCCTGTGGGTGCTGACGAGGCTCCCGTGGGACAGGGAGGGCACCAGCCAGAGCTCCACGCCCCCACAGCCCCCATCTCAACCCCCCCAGTGGCCACAACAGCCCCTCCAGTGTCCTTGTCCCCTGCCGTGCCCAGGCCAGCCACCCAGCTCACCTCCAGCGGCCTCAGCCAGCAGGATGCCCTGGGCACAGCCATGCCCACAGCCCCAGCTCACGGCCCACCTCTCCTGAAATGGGGGACAGAGGGGGTGTCCCAGCACCTGGATCCAGCATCACCCCACACCGAGCTGACCTCCCATGGGACCCCGCTCAGCCTCCCTGCACCGAGGGACCCCTCACCGTGGGCACCCGCAGGGACACCAACGAGGGACCCCTCACCGTGGGCACCCCCAGGGACACCAGCGAGGGACCCCTCACCGTGGGCACCCCCAGGGACACCAACGAGGGACCCCTCACCATGGGCATCCCCAGGGACACCAACGAGGGACCCCTCACCATGGGCATCCCCAGGGACACCAGCGAGGGACCCCTCACCATGGGCACCCCCAGGGACACCAACGAGGCACCCCTCACCGTGGGCACCCCCAGGGACCCCTGCCTCCAGTGACGGGGGGCAGGAGCTGTCCCAGCCCACCCCTTTTTCCCTCCCGCTCTGGGAGAAGAGGCTGGAGGAGGAAGAGGAGGAGGAGGAGGAGGCTCTGCTCCCACCGTTGCCCCCTGCAGCAGCCACTGCCAAGCCCAGCTGGGAGGTCGGGAACTGGAGTGAGGTACGTGGTGAGTCCCCTGAGCAGTGTGACAGGGCCAGTATGGCTGTGAGACCTGTCCCTGTCCCTGCCCTGGCTGGCTCTGGGACGTTTCTCCTGGCAGCATGGGGTCATTAATGCTAATTAGGAAACAAGCGGTAAGCAAATGCCAAAGGCACCCCCAGCCCCAGGGGGGTGCCCCGTTGAATCCTCCAGGGAGCAAACACTGAGCAGGGAGAGGAGGGGTTGGTCCCCCCCTGAGCAGAACAGCTGGAATGGGCTGTGGAGGAGCGTGTTCCTCCCCTTCCCTCCCTGAGCACTGCCTGATGTGGGGTTGCTTAGAGGGGAAAGGTCCTCTCCCCACGTCATCCCACAGCCCCAGTTCACCCAGCACCCTCCTGGCCTGATGTGGAGCTGGGCTCAGGTTTTTGGGGTGCCCAGTGCAGCAGCTCTGTGTTGCAGAGCTGGAGTCAGGTTTTGGGGTGCACAGCACTCCCTGTGCTGCAGAGCTGGGTTTTCGGGGTGCCCAGCACTCCCTGTGCTGCAGAGCTGGGTGTTTGGGTGCCCAGCAGCACTCTCTGTGCTGCAGAGCTGGGTGTTTGGGGTACACAGCACTGCCTGTGTTGCAGAGCTGAGTTTTCAGGGTACACAGCACTCCCTGTGTTGCAGAGCTGGGTGTTTGGGGTACACGGCACTCCCTGTGCTGCAGAGCTGGGTGTTTGGGGTGCACAGCACTCCCTGTGCTGCAGAGCTGGGTGTTTGGGGTGCACAGCACTCCCTGTGTTGCAGAGCTGGGTGTTTGGGGTGCACAGCACTCCCTGTGCTGCAGAGCTGGGTGTTTGGGGTACACAGCACTCCCTGTGCTGCAGAGCTGGGTTTTTGGGGGGCCAAGCCCTCCCTTGGCTGCAAGGCTGGGTGTTTGGGTGCCCAGCAGCACTCTCTGTGCTGCAGAGCTGGGTGTTTGGGGTACACAGCACTGCCTGTGTTGCAGAGCTGAGTTTTCAGGGTACACAGCACTCCCTGTGTTGCAGAGCTGGGTGTTTGGGGTACACGGCACTCCCTGTGCTGCAGAGCTGGGTGTTTGGGGTGCACAGCACTCCCTGTGCTGCAGAGCTGAGTTTTTGGGTACACAGCATTCTCTGTGTTGCAGATCTGGTGTTTTTGGGGTACACAGCACTCCCTGTGTTGCAGAGCTGGGTTTTTGGGTGCCCAGAAGCACTCCCTGTGTTGCAGAGCTGGGTTTTTGGGGTGCCCAGCACTCCCTGTGCTGCAGAGCTGGGTGTTTGGGGTACACGGCACTCCCTGTGCTGCAGAGCTGGGTTTTCGGGGTGCCCAGCACTCCCTGTGCTGCAGAGCTGAGTTTTTGGGTACACAGCATTCTCTGTGTTGCAGATCTGGTGTTTTTGGGGTACACAGCACTCCCTGTGCTGCAGAGCTGGGTGTTTGGGTGCCCAGCAGCACTCTCTGTGCTGCAGAGCTGGGTGTTTGGGGTACACAGCACTGCCTGTGTTGCAGAGCTGAGTTTTCAGGGTACACAGCACTCCCTGTGTTGCAGAGCTGGGTGTTTGGGGTACACGGCACTCCCTGTGCTGCAGAGCTGGGTGTTTGGGGTGCACAGCACTCCCTGTGCTGCAGAGCTGGGTGTTTGGGGTACACAGCACTCCCTGTGCTGCAGAGCTGGGTTTTTGGGGTGCACAGCCTTCCCTGTGTTGCAGTGCTCGGCCACGTGCGGCCTGGGCGCGGTGTGGCGGCCGGTGCGCTGCAGCAGCGGCAGTGACGGTGGCTGTCCCGCGGCCGACAGGCCCGTCCCCGCCCGGAGGTGCTCCCTGAGACCCTGCTCGGCCTGGCGTGTGGGCAACTGGAGCAAGGTATGGCTCTGCGGGGAGGCAGGGTCCGGAGGGAGGGTCCCCAAAACCCGCGGGGCAAGGTGTGGGGTCACACTGCTCTCGGGGAGGGCTCCTGCCCTGTGTGTCACGTAGGTAAAGGTTTGTGCTTGCCACAGGGTTTAAGCTGCTCATCCCACAGTGTTTTCATTTTTCCTGGTCTGATAATAAAGTCAGGAATTTGTAAAAGCTAAACCAAGTGATTTGGTGAAAGGCCAGGTTGGGTGGGGCTGGACAGCCTGGTCTAGCAGGTGTCATCCCATCCCTCCATCCCATCCAAGCCCTCCACCCCAGGGCTTCTTTAAGGTCCATTGCAAGCCATTCTGTGGTTCTATGATTTGTCACTCTCTGGACAGTGTTCTGGCCACTGTGCCCTGCCAGGGGCTGTTTGCAGTTGGGTTGGGTGAATTCGGTAGGGTTGGTGGTGGGGATCAGCCCTCCTTGCTCGGGGTGGACGCTGTTCCTTGGGATCATCAGTTCTTTAAGGCATAAACACTGCTCATGTTCCAGCTGGAAAGCAGCTGGTTTCAGAGGGGTGCCAGTGACAGATGAGCTGCACAGACTGTGCTCTGGCTTGGCCTAGAGCAAGGGGGGGAAGGAGGCCAAGTGTCAACTCAACCCCAACCCAAGTTGCTGCTGTGTCCCTCCCCACCGTGGCCGTGTGTCCCTCCCCACCGTGGCTCCGTGTCCCTCCCCACCGTGGCCGTGTGTCCCTCCCCACCATGGCTGTGTGTCTGTCCCCACCATGGCTCCGTGTCCCTCCCCAGTGCTCCAGGAGCTGCGGCGGGGGCACCAAGGTGCGGGACGTTCACTGCGTTGACACCAGGGACCAGCGGCTGCTGCGGCCCTTCCACTGCCAGGCCGGGCTGGGCCAGCCCCCGGCGCAGCTGCCCTGCCGCAGTGCCCCGTGCCTGGACTGGTACACGTCCTCCTGGAGAGAGGTACGCTGGCCTGGGCACCGCTCAGCCCCCCTGCCAGGGCAGGGGCACCCGCTGCCATCCCTGCTGCTCCGAGCCCTGTGTCACACTGGCTGGGACACTGCCAGGGATCCAGGGGCAGCCACAGCTGGGAGCTCCATACCAGCTCCTCATCACCCTCCCAGGGAACAATTCCTGCCCAAGATCGCATCCATACCTGCCCTCTGGCAGTGGCAGCCATTCCCTGGCTCCTGTCCCTCCATGCCTTGTCCCCAGTTCCTCTCCATCTCTCTTGGAGCCCCTTTAGCCCTGGCAGGCCTCTGAGCTGTCCCTTTAGCCCTGGCAGGCCTCTGAGCTGTCCCTGGAGCCCCTTTAGCCCTGGCAGGCCTCTGAGCCATCCCTTTAGCCCTGGCAGGGCTCTGAGCTGTTCCTGGAGCCCCTTTAGCCCTGGCAGGGCTCTGAGCTGTCCCTGCAGGCCCTGGCAGGCCTCTGAGCCATCCCTTTAGCCCTGGCAGGGCTCTGAGCTGTCCCTGGAGCCCCTTTAGCCCTGGCAGGGCTCTGAGCCGTCCCTTTAGCCCTGGCAGGGCTCAGAGCCGTCCCTTTAGCCCTGGCAGGGCTGTGTGCAGGGCTGAGCCCTCTGTGTGCCCGCAGTGCTCGGAGCCGTGTGGCGGCGGGGAGCAGGCCCGGCTGGTGACGTGCCCCGAGCCGGGGCGCTGCGAGGAGAGCCTGAGGCCCAACAGCACCCGGCCCTGCAACAGCCAGCCCTGCACCACCTGGGTGGTGGGCTCCTGGGGACAGGTGAGCAGGGGATGGGGACACACCGTGCGCCCGGGTGGCCCTGGCGCTGCCCCCAGGCTGAGCCCCGGTCCCCGCAGTGCTCGGCGCCCTGCGGAGGGGGCATCCAGCGGCGCCAGGTGAAGTGCATGGACACCAGGACGGGGGTGGCCGAGGAGGACAGCAGCCTGTGTGACCACGAGCCGTGGCCAGAGAGCACCCAGAAGTGCAACCCCCAGGAGTGCGACAGCCCCGAGCCAGGTGAGCAGCAGGCAGAACCTGGGAATGGGGTGGGAGCTCTGGGGGACGTGGAGAGAGCGGTTGGGACTGGGTTGTGTGGGGCTGACTTGGCTGGTTGATGATTAAGTGGGAATGTTGCAATGTCTGTAAACGTCAGAGCATCCGTCCCTCAAGGGGCCAAGCAGGGTTTTACTGGCACAGACATGAGCTGGGATGGGATTGTTGGGGTCAGCAGTGTCACCCAGCACAGGGACACCCGAGGGACCCCGTGGGGTCAAGGGACCCCGTCCAGAGGCAACAGGGCATTCAGGAAAAGGAAGGCACAGGGGAATACCCAGTGATGGAGCTCTCAGGAAACTGTTCAGTGGTAAAGTCCCACAACACAAGACTTGTGAAACAAGCTGGGCCCAGCACGAGAAGATGGAATAAAGGAGCAGTTCTTCAGCATCTTCAGATGTGTCTGAGGGACAGACACACCTGGAGCCAGCCCCATGTCACCCTGTTTGTCATTTACCTGCCCCAGCTGCAGCCACAGTGCTTGGCCACACCACGGGCACTCACTTGGCTTCTTCTCCCTCTTCCACTCACAGAGATCGATCCCAAGCACCAGGCACTTCCCTGGGAGACAGAAATCTGGGCACTGCAGGGGTTAACAGCACTTACAGAAAAGCAGTATAATGAGGGATTAGATGTCACTGGTGTGTCTGTCAGTCACTTATCAGCTTTATCTCTTTAATGTGTCTGTGTAAAAGAAAAGCTCTTTGGCTGCCCAGAAGGTATTGTTGGAGCTCCAGGAGGTTTGCTGGCCAAAGGGAGGGCTGAGAGATGGGGCAGGGGGGCAGCAGTAGCTGGTGCCTGGGGTGGAGGAGCTGGATCCATGGCTGCTCCACACATCCCTGAGGTCCCCTCTGCAGCCTGGGACACCCGTCCCACCCTCCCAGCTCTTTTTGTTCATCCTGTGCCCAGCGTGTTCCTCCCAACACCAACTCCAGAGCAGGCAGAGCGTTGGCTTTGGTTGACTGGGATTTGGGCACTGGCACTGTTGGCCATCAGGATGTTTTCAGCCATGAATGTGCTCCTTTTTTGGAGCATTTTCAGGGCCATGGGGCACTCCAGCATTTAGGAAATGATGAGTCAGCCCTGCTCAAGGCACAACGTGCGGTTCCGGTTGTTTTGGTCAGGGGAAAATTTCCGTGCCAGGCTTGGTGATGAGAGCTGTGGAGCCAAGGCTGGACCAGAATAACCACTGAGATGTGTAGGAAGCACACAAATAAATGGTAAAATCCTGGATCAAAAATGACATAAATGCTCTGGCTGCAGCCCAGGGCAGGAAACGCCTTTTGGAAATACAAACGTTTCCAGCCAAAGCATGAAGGGGAACAAAACTTTCACATGGCAGGAAATCCCAGATGTGTAAATGCACAGGCAAAGGCTCCCAGAAAGACGTAAATGTAACTGCAGCCCTTTCCTGTGCTTTAGGGGATCTTTGCTGCACAAGAAGGGCTCAGGCTGGAGCGATCCATGGTTTTGTGAGGAGCACAGGAGCCTCTCCCTCCTCGGGCACGAGGTGCTCCTGTACCAGCAGAACCAGGCTGGCTCTGTGAGTGGCCATGTCCTCACTGGACACAGAAGTGCCAATAACCCCTGCAGGGTTCAAATGTTCAAACCATAATCAGATGGATTTGGAGCAGAGATGGAACAGATGAAGCACAAACATCTCACAGCAGTCGGCTCCTCAATTAAAGGAGGTCGGGATTAATTAGAACCAGAGTCCTGAGCTGTTGCCAGGTTATAAATTAATTGAAGATTCCACCAAGGTTATTTTTGAATATGGCTGTTGCCTTACAGCTGCAGCCAGCTGTGAGGGTGTCCTTAGATGGCTCCTGGGAGCTTCAGAGCCCTGGGCACCCCAGTGCCTCCCTGGGATGCTCCAGAGGCTGGGGACATTCATCTGGGAATGTTTGTGGTGTCATGGAAAGGAGCTGAGCCTCACCAGGCCAGCATGGGGGCCTGGAGAAGCCTGCAGCAGTTTATGCAGCAGATCAGACAGATTTAACCCAGAAAAATGGGAATTGCTGTGTACTGGAGGAGGAATCAAGGCGAATGGAGCTGGTCACTCAGCTGGTCACTGCAGGGTGGTGGCTGTGCTGGACACAGCAGACCCTGGTGGTGGTGGTGACACATCCCTGCCCAGGACAGAGCAGGGCAGCCCCAGGTGCTCATCAGGGTCATGCCAGGGAATTAATCAGTTCCCTCGTGCCAGTTTCTCCAGATCTGATACCAGGGAGGTCTCTGAGCTCCCCAAATCTGCCCCAGACAGGTGGTAGGGCCAGTTCTTGGCTCCAGCAGCAAACACAGCTGTTCCACAGGTGTCTCAGCTTGAAATTGCAGAGGGAAGAGGCACAGGCTGCACTGGCTGGAGGACAAGTGTGTATCCAGAGGTGCCTGGGAGCAGGGTGGAGCCCAGCCCATGTCCTGGCAGCAGCACTGCCTGGGGCCAAGGGGTGAAGGCTCTGCCCACACGGGGTCAGTCCCAGACACCATCACTGCCCCACTCCCTGTTTGCTGGCTCCTTATCCAGGGCTACCTGTATTTCGATTAATTGGCAATTAAACGTGGTGCTCCTGCTTGTTCTGAGTGAGGAAATGAAATTGTTCGTGGCTCTTCAGGTCACAGAGTTCGTCCACAAGGGGTCCATGTGGGAAACAATTGCAGCAAATCCCAATTTTCTCTGTCATTTGAGCGTGTAAGTCCCTACCCAAGTGGTGGGGCCAGGAGGTGCTGCTGAGTGAGGCATGGAGAGCAATTAATTAACTGCTAATTAACAGCAGGAGTCAGTGGGAAAGGCATGCTCCAGAAAGGACTCCCTGCTTTGATAAAATGTAGGAGAAAGATGTTGCCTGCAGCAGGGCTGACACCTGAAAACTGTGGGGTCTGGGGGTTTCTCCCAGTTTTCCCAGCTGTGGCTGTGTCAGTGGGGATGCACCCCATGCACCCCCTCCATCCCATCCCATCCCATCCCATCCCATCCCATCCCATCCCATCCCATCCCATCCCATCCCATCCCCTCCTGCTGACCAGACACCACAGGGAGGCACCTCAGCCCAGAGCAGGACTCTGGGATAATTCCCTTGTTAAATTCAGCTCCGAGTGCATCCCGAGGGCCAGAGGTCAGCAGCCTAATTCCCTGGATTTGCTAGCTCAGCTCCAAGCTCAACCTTTCCTTGTTTTTACAAAACGTGTTCCAGGAAGTTTGTTTTTCCCAGGAATAAAAGTAAAAGCTTAGGTCTGGCTGGCAGAAGCTTAAATGAAATTTAAAGCGACTTCCACAGTGACCTAAGAAAAACAGCCCAAAAAAAAGTGGGGGTTTTCAGTCTGTAATGTGCTGACTTAGCCTGGATTTTTAAAGCCCTGCTTTAAGCTATTTCTTTAGCCTAAAATTTGGCACAGACATATGGAATGTGTTTCCAAATGAAGTGCGAGGATTATATAAAAAATTGTTAATAGAAAGAAATAGCAGTACAAGCATTCAATGAAAATTGGGTGGGTTCTGCAGGTCCCTCTCTGAAGAGCTGACAAATTAAGTGCTTATTGCAGCTTCCCTTGCCCAAGACCGAATTCCAGGGAGGAATCACAAGCTCAGCCAAGATTTTCAGACCTGATCCTGACCCCACACGCATCCACCCTGAGACTGCAGCAGGGTCTGGGAAAGTGCTGGGAACTGAAGCCCTCAAGGACTCCCACTGGCTTCCCTGAGTTCCGGGAGCGTTGGGAACACTCCCAGGCGTGGGGGGTTGTGGGGCTGTCCTGGGCAGGGCCAGGCTGGATCATCCCGTGGGTCCCTTCCAAGCTGGATATTTTATGACCCACGAGGTCATTTGGCTTTGGAGCCCTGGGCTCTCCTGCAAGGCCAGCAGAGCCTGCAGCCAAGGGTGGTGGCTCTGTTCCCCACGCCCAAGGCCATCCCTGCTGCTGTGCTCCCATCCTGAGAGCCTGGGGAGGTGTTCAGGGAGCTGGGACCCCTGGCAGGGTGGGCTCCGTGTGCCTGGGCATGGTGCAGGGTCAGGAATTGCCTGATGGGCCCAGGCTGCTGACAGGGAGCAGGAACGGGCTGAGCCATCACTCCAAGGCTGCAGAGCAGCTTCCCAGCCTGAGCCTTCCCAGCTCTTTCCAAGGACGGCAGGAGGCAGCTTGGTTGTGATCAGAAATCACTCTCTAGGAAGCTGTGAGGGGCTGGGCATCCCCCAGCAGGGCCCAGGACATTCCCAGCCCTCCTGGGCATGCAGGCTGATTGCCACTGCCATGGGACAGCCCTGAGGTGCTTTAGGAGCCCTGCAGCCAGGGGCAGTTCCTGTGCTCCAGTGTCCCAGTGCAGCAGGGCTGGGGTCAGGGGGTGCCTGTGGAGCCACAGGGATGCTCTCAAGGAATGTTATCCTGCCAGCCCCGTGGAGCACAGCCCAACAAGCACTTCCCCTTTTCCAGTGGCTCTGGTGCTCCCACAGCAGGTCCGGGGTGTGCTGCACTCCTGGCCTGGGCTGGGCAGGGATTTCTCATCTGCTCTGCCCAGCCAGCAGGGAACACCCACTGCTGGTGTCCCAGCAGGCAGGGCTGCAGCCCCAGGCCGAGGTGTGGTGTGAAGCTGGGATCCCTCCATCCTGCTCTGTCAGCACTGTGGATCCAGCAGTGCAGGGATAAACTGCTTTTTGGGGGCACAGGGACACCCTGGCCGGGCACAAAGAGCTGCAGCTGGGGCGGCAGGGAGGAAATACCTCAGCTGAAACAGAAAATAAGTTTTAGAGCAGTGTGGTGAGCTGCTGGGCTGGGGGAGGGGGCTGTGGCTGAAATCCCAAAGCAGGGAAGAGTCTCTGCTCTGCATCCCTGGCTTTGGCTCTCCTGTGGGAATGGGGCAGCAGCCCTTCCCTCAGCACAGCCCCTGTTCCAGAGGGGACAGGGCAAGCGCCAGTGGTCAGTGACAGCTCCCCTGGCTCGGTCACAGCATTGTCCCTGCAGGGAAGTGTCCTGAGAAAGAGAAAATCCCATTTCCCTGCCCCACTTCTGTCCCGGCTCTGCGAGGTCCTGGTCCCAGGGAGAAGCAATGGGGGTTGGCCCCAGAGTGCATCAGCTCTGCCCTTTTCCAGAGAAAAGCTGTCATCTGCTTTCATTCCTTGTACAGGAGGTAAAACTGGAATCACAGAATCTGAGATTTTGAGCTTAGGCTGGGTTTTGAGTTGATGTAATTTAAGTGAGTCTGACACCACTGGGTGAGAAGCTGCAGGCTCAGCGAGTCTTGCTCTGAAATGGAGAAGGAGGAAATCAAAAATTCAAACAAAGCAGCTCTGTGTTCATGTAAACCATGTGTATTTGGGGATGGTCTGTGCTGCTGGGCTGAGCCCAGGTGGGCCTGGGCTGCCCCTGGAGCAGCCGTTCCCTAAACAAAGCCCATCCTCAGAGCAGCAGCAGTTGTTTTGAGGGCTGCAGGACACCTGCAGGAAGCGAACCAGATGATGCAGGTTCTCAAAATAACCAAAACAATTCAGAGCAAAAGGAATTCTGGCCCTTCCGCTGGCACTGGGGGAGCTGGGGGCTGGCAGGAGGGGACACTGGGGGGGTTTGTCCCCTGCACCCCAGCTCTGTCCCTGGGCAGTGCTTTGGAGCTGCTGGCAGCAGCCCAGGTGTGCTTTCTGCAGTGCTCCAGGTGCCCAGGTGCAGGAGGGCTCTGCCCAGGGGAGCCCTGTCCGTGTCTCCAGCCAGCTTCCACAGAACCTGGATGGCTTTGGGATGAAGGGACCTTAACAACATCTCATTTCCACATGGGACACCTGGTGACTGTGCTGACACCCGCACTGACACCTTCCTGTGTGGTTGTGTTCAAGGGTCCCAGCACGAGGGAAGAGACCACCCTGCCCTGGCAGAGGGAAGGGGAATGACAGCAGCAATAACTGGGGAAGACCCCTCAGAAATGCTCATGGTGCTATCATTTGACGTTTGCAGCCTCTCCAAGGTGTTGGCTGGCCAGCACGAACCTTGATTTTTATTGTTATTTTTATATCTCTGAGGTGAGCATCCAGCATTCCACGGCTCTGCCGACCCTTTGGGGTAGGGATTTTTTTTTGCCTTTAAGGACTTGAAGCTGGCAACCCACTCCTGTAATTTTCATTAAAATGTTTACGCACTGAAGCTGAATAGATTTAATTTAAGAAGCAGAGGCAGGGCAGAGGAATAAAGTTCCAGCTTCAGCTGGGGCTGTGCAGGGCTCTGTCTCCCCATTGCTGGCTTCCTCTGCCAAAGCCATTTTTGTGTCCCTCTGGAGCAGAGGGCATCGCTGGGGACCCCGAGGTGTGGAGTGCACCAGGGCATTGCCTTGCATGCATTTGGGCAGGAGAGTGGCACATCCCCTCCCTCGTGGGCAGCCAGGTGCTCAGGCCCTGGGTTTCTGTATGTGTAGCAGTGTAATGCTTGGTTAAGGTGTTTTTCTGTGGCCTTACAGGCTGAACCCTTTTTTTCCTGCTTATCTAGATTCTCCTCTGTTAAGGTTAGCTGATTTTTAACTAGAATATCCAATTTACTCTGAGGCACAGCCCCTGCTGCCTGCTCCCAGAGCGGTGTGGGAACAAACCCCTCCCTGTCTCGGGGAGGGATTCCTGCCAGGCTGGTCTCTAGAGGAGGGCAGGGGCATTTAGGTAGGAATTCCCTTCCCTATTACTCTTCAGGCTGTGGAGGGTGCCCAAAACCCGGGGGACCTTGAAGGGCAATCCTCCCTGCACGGGCAGAGGAGGCTGGGGCCCACCCCGGGCTGCAGAGCTCCAGGTGCTGCTCCCTGGGCAGCGCTCAGCCCGAATTCCTGTGTGTCATTTGTATGTAAAACACAAGCCATGACCTCACCATTTGTGCTTTATTCCCTTCCAAGGTGGTGTAAAGTTTTTATTGTCCAAGAACCTGTGTCCAGTCCT